ACGGACGTAGGTGGGCAGCATGCGGGTGGAGGCCTGGGCGTGCGTCTCATGCCGCAGCCCCCGCTCCATCTCACGCTGCAGCAGGGCCTGAACCTGCCGCCGGGCGTCAGGCGCGAGGCGCAGCGGTTTCAGGAGCTGGTCGACCTCGCGACGCTGGGACCGTAGGCGCACGGCCACTGCGGTTACCACGGCCACCCCCCAGGCACAGCTGCCCTCCTCTGCCAACACCAGGGTGGCCGCGCACTCGGGGGCCAGCTTCTTGGTCGTCTCCTCCAGCGTCTGGAAGAACCTGGGGCGCAGGAAAGCCGCAGGCTGGGCCCAGCTCCGGTGCGGCCCCCCCAGTGTCCTCAGCCCCCTCACGCCTGTGGCATGAGCTGCATGCCCTCCACCAGGCACCAGGACGTGGCTGAACCCACCACCGCTGCCCCCTGCCCACCCACAGCCACAGCCACAGTCCTAGCGAAGCCAGGCCTCACTTGCGCCCCTGGAAGATGTCCCCGTCCACGCCCACGCAGACGTCCAGCTGTGGCAGCTCCCGGTTCTTGCGCATGTGGGTGAGGATGGCGGCCAGGCTGGTGGCACAGAGGCAGGCGGCACGGGTGACCACGGCCAGGCACACCTGCCGCACAGTGAAGCAGTCCGGGTCACTCGGCTGCAGCCCCAGCTTCTGCAGCAGGCACCTGCCGGCGGCCAGCCCGCCCTGGTCCCTGCAGCGGAGAGAGCACGGGGCTCAGGCGGGCACGGGGCATGGGGCATGGGGCACAGGCCCCCTGCTGAGGCCGGGCAGGCTGGCGGGGCGCAGCCCCTACTCACTCCGAGATGCTCAGGACTTCCAGAGCCGTCACCTTGTCCTGGGTGAGCAGCTGCGGGGTGGTGCCGCCGGCGTGCAGAGCCTTGTCTTGCGCCAGCTGCACCAGCAGGAGCCGGGCAATCTCGCCCAGGTACAGGCTGCCGATCATCTTCTCAAACCTGCGGGGCGAAGGGGGGCTGAGGCAGTGGCACCAGCTCAGCGCCTCGCCCACCCGGGCTCTCTGCTTGCTACCCTGCAGGTCCGCTTCCTGGCCCTGCAGACCCCAGGCCGTGCCCAAGGGACATCCGCCCACCCCAGTACCGAGTCCTGACCTGCCCACGGCTCTACCCCCTCCCTCACCCCGCAAGGCCCTGCACCCACCTGTGCTTCCCCTTGTGCATGCTCCCTGCGTCCACTTGTTCATCGTACATGGTCAGGATGTCGGCCAGGACCCCGGTGTCCCCAAAGGTGCCCCACTCCGTGTTCACGCACATCCGCCCCTCGTTGTCGTCCAGGCTCTCCACGCACCACGCCTCCGCCATGAAGCAACTGTTGGTGCCGGCGCCTGCACAGCACAGGGCCAAGCGAGGCAGATGTGATGGCAGCACCGTGCCAGGAGACCCCCCCGCCACTTAACCGCCATGTGCCACCGGCACCACTCACCTACGATGAGGCCGACCTCACAGGGTTTCTTCCCCAAGCTGCAGCCCATCATGGTGGCCACGGTGTCGTTCACCACGACCACGACGTTGATGTCGTGGCGCTGGTGGAGCAGAGCGCACGGTCAGGCAGCGCCCCCGGCCTCCCGTGCCCCGGCTGAGCTCAGCCCCGCTGCCCTGGCCCGGCCCCGGCGCTCCTCACCGCCTGCTTCTGGATGGCCTCTTGCAGCAGCTGCCCCACGTCTCTCCCCACCACGTCGCTGCAGCTGTAGCCCTTGGACCAGGTCTGCAGCACGCTCTGCAGGGACATCAGCATGGGAGAATCGGGGGCTGCAGGGGCCAGCCTGCCTTGGCACCTCCTGCCGTGAGAGCTGGGAAATGCCCCAGCCCATGCAGGGCAGCCGCCAGCCGCCAGCCGCCAGCACGGTGCTCACCTTCTCCAGCCCAGTCTTGAGGCACGGGAAGGGGAAGAAGAAGCCCAGCTGGTGGCTCGTGGCTGGGATGTGGAGATTGTCCAGGAACTGGCACAGGCTCTCCGCCATGAAGTCAAAGAGCTGGCAGGGAAGGATCCAGGCATGGCCCGTCAGCCACGGCTGCTCCACCCTGCCCCATCCCAATGCCAGGGGGTCGCCCCCCACCCCTGCACCCACTTACCTTCTCCCCTTTGCCCTCCGTGAGGTCCCGTGGCACAGCGAAGATCTGATCCTTCAGTTGTGCCCCCTGGTGCCCGCCCCCGCCCAGCTCTGCCCGCAGGACCCGCAGGTCCCGCTCACGCAGCTCCAGCACCAGGAAGCTGCCTCGTTCTGTGGGGAAGGGACCACGGCATCAGAGCCAGCCTGGAAGGTGGCTGCCCCTGCCCTGCTGCCCCCAGGAGCTGGGGCGAGGGGCACAGCCCTGCCCCCGCCTGCAGCAGCCCAGATCCGATGGGCACCGTGCCCCAGTGTCTGGAGAGGGCTGGGGGACGGGGGCCACGACTCACCAGTGCCGTCAGGCGTGGAGCGCACATAGGTGGGCAGCATAGGCACGGCGTGGGCACCTTTCCGGAGGCTCAGCCCAGCCTCCATGGCTGCCAGCATGCGGTGCTGCACGCTGCTCAGCTGCTGCAGGGACAGGCTCAGCGGCTGCAGGACTCGCTGCACCTGGGGGAAGCGCTGGTCAGGCAGGGAGCACAGCTGGGAACCGCCGGGAGCCCCGAAGGGCTGGGGGACGTAGTCGGCAATGTCCCGGGGGTGCCTGGCGGGGCCTGTACTCACCACCTCGGTGACACAGCGGCTCTGGCTCTGTGGGTGCTGGGTGGTGCCAGCGTCACCCACCCACTGGGCAGGGCACGCAGGGCTCCCGGCTTCCTTGTGGGGCTCCTGCGGCACGGGCTCATCCTGGCGCGAGCTCATCGGGCCTGCGGGAGGGAGCGTGGGTGAGCCCTGCGCTGGGGACCTGGGGAGCGGCTCGGGGCCTCTGCCCTGCTGCTGCCAGCCCCGGCTGCGGACAGGGGCCAGGGCCATACGGGCCCCATGGCTCATCGGCTGCAATACTTGCTGTGGCGCAGGCCCCGGCAGTGCTGAGCACCTGGCCCCAGCTGGATGTGACCCCCCGGTTCCTGCCCACACGCACAGGCCAGGACTGGGGGGGCAATTAGGCAGGGGTCCCTACACAGCAATCATCCGGGCGGTGCCAGCAGCACTGCCTGGCAAAGCTGCACTTTCTTGTTGTTTTTTAATTCTGTATGTGGGGCCAAGCCCGCTCCGGAGCCCATCGCCGGATCAGAGCCCGCGCTGCCCGCACCTCTCCTCCCTCCTGGGCTCTTCAGCCTGCGGCTTCAGATCCTCCCGCGTCCCCGGCAGCGTCCCACGTGCGGGCCCCACGCCTGGAGGCGTTGGGGTTTGTTGCCCCCAAGTCTCGCTTGCCCTGAGCCCACAGGCCAAAGGAGCAAGCTGGGGAGAAACCCCATCGCCATAAAGCAGGTGTAGCCAAGATCCTTTTGTTGGGAGGCTGCGGGAGCCGCTCGCAGGGGGCTGCCCGCAGCGCGCCGGACAGGCTCCCACCCTCCGCCCCATAACCATCTTAGCCCTGGGACCCGACCCTGCAGCGACTGCACTTGATCAGAGGGACCAAGAAGTAGAAGCAACACTCTTTCTTTTATTAAATGTATTTGTTTTCCCAGCCAAATCAGATTGCACATCTGTGAGGCAGTCCAGAACCATAAGTGGTCCCACCACCGGCAGACATCCTCCACCCCCACCCGGGGCTGCAGATGTTTCCAAATCCCTTGGCAGGCATCCTACGTGGGGTTTGGATGCCCCTGAATGCTGCCTGCCCTCAGCCATACGGCCCTCGGAGCAAGCCAGGGAGGAGACTCCCATTTCCATAAACTGGGCTTAAAGCTGCTGCACCTCGGTGGGTCCTGACCCAGCCGGAAGAGCAGTTCTCCTGGGGACGCTTTAGGAAAACTGCCTGTGGACACAGATGCACGGTATTTCCCCTGCCAGGTTACGAACAGGCACTGGACTTGATGGTCTGGGCCAAAAGGCTGGGACGCGATCAGATCACATACCCCTGCACGCGCACACACACACCTGAAAGCCCACCCCCCGGACCCTCACACTGAGCAGCCCCACATGGAGAGCAAGAAGAGAAGAATGTGCCCTGGCATCCCAGGCATGTACGGAGCATCCCGCCCGCTCACCCCGCGCAGCTCCCC